CCTTAAAGCACCTAGATAAGGAAATGAGGCTTGGAGGGGTTAAACAGCAGCAAGTGAAAGAACTGATGTTTACATCCAGATTTTCTACACTCCATAGTTTTCCCTTTTCACTGTGCTGTCAAAATTGCTTATAGTCACAAAAGCACTCAATACTAGCAAATCATGCCACCTCTGTGCTCTACATATACTTATTTATGTCTATATTATAGTAGTTATATATTTTTATATATTATATAATATATACAGGGTGTCCCAAAAATACGTGTATGTACTTTAACAGCTGATAACTCAATTGTGAAAATAAAATGTATTTTAATAAACACTACCTTTATAATTATTCAAAGTGTGTGTATAGCCCTCGCTGGTTTGGCTGAGTGGATAGTGTCAGCCTGCGGACTGAAGGGTTCCTGGTTCAATTCTGGTCAAGGGCACATGCGGCTCGATCCCCAGTAGGGGGCTTGCAGGAGGCAGCTGATCAATCAGCTCATCATTGATGTTTCTATCTCTCCCTCTCCCTTCCTCTCTGAAATCAATAAAAATACATTAAAAAAACAGTGTGTGTATACATTTTTTGGGACATCCTATATTTATATACATATATATGATAATAAAATATATTACAAAGTAAAAACTAGAAATTGCCCTGTGTTCTATATTAAAGAAGACATTACGTACATCCGTGCCGTAGATGAGGAAATCACCAGTTAAGGCATGACATAAGATCCGGCACTTATCATCCACTGCTGGGAAGAGTCGAGTCTCACGCTCTTCTTGAGTATCCAAGAGTTCACTTTCTATCTAAAACAAAGAATAGCAGTGGCTCGTAGGGGAGGATCTTTTCCTTAGGTTCAGTTAAGCATTCAGACTCAGCAGACTGCATAGGCCAGTTTACTCAAAGGCGTCAGGCAGGAAGCACGGCTTACGAGCAGGGCAGCATTAGACCCCCCTCTTTAGCGGGAACACAGGCTCTGAAGTTGTCTGGTGGCTAATCCCTGGCTTCCCAGAAGCAAAGAGCCAAGAACAAATGTGGCAGATGCCCTGGTTTGGAAGCCCCATATTCCAGGGCCAGTATCTCTTGGACAACTCGAGGCCTAGTTTCAAGGACCCCCACAAGCAACATGCCTAAATGTACGAGGCAGTGCACTCCAGGAGGCCCAGATGTGTGGCATTCCCATCAGCTTTTATAGTTCATTTATGGTTTCTCCATACAGTTACCAACAGGGTCATTTTTACCATAAGCATTGTTGGAAGTAGCACAGTTGATAAAGTGCCAGGTTTCTTGCCAGAGCTAGAAAACTAATTGAACATCTCCTTGCAGAAGGGTAAAGATTTTGTTAATCCTTTATCCACACCTGGCTTTCTAGCTAGTCTGTACAAGGTTGCTTCCTGACCGAAGTTTTTAATAAGACACTAAGTTAACTGAGCAGGCCTCCAGGACATCAAAATTATACTTACCAAGTGTAACTGGACTTTGCCTTCAAAAAGAGCAGCAGCATAGTCTGAATGAAGGCAAACACTGGCTACTGTCCCCAGATACTCCACATCTTTCAATTTTTTCACACCTGTAGCAATTAAAACAAACACATTAAAATATGAATAAAATTATATAAATATTTGCAAATAATGTTAAGCTTTGCAAGGATATTCTGAGCCTAAAATTTTTATTTTAGCCATGCTAAAGGAAATAGTTGCCATATAAATTTGCCTTTCAGAATTCTATAATGGTTCCCATGAAACAGAGTAATCGAAAATAAAATCACATGCAAAACAGATATTAAACCTTAGTGACAATAAGCTTAATGGTATCTTCTATCTGAGAATAATTCTCAGGCTTGCTCTATTGCTGAGGGATATCTGACCTCCAGTGAGGGAAGGGACTGGATAGGGTGGGGAAAGAAGGAGGGGGAAAGCAAGGCTCCCTTCAGATGCTAATAGTCATTATCCAAACAATAAAATCAGGGAGGAAACCAGACCAAGGAGTCATTGTGCAAAGGTAGATCCCACTTTTTATTATTTGTGTGTTTGTTTGTTTGTTAATCCTCATCTGAGGATACTTTTCCATGGATTTTAGAGAGAGTGGAAGGAAGGGGGAGTCAGAGAGAGAGACATCAACGTGAGAAGCATATCAAGCCTGCAACCGAAGCACGTGCTCTTGACCAGAATCAAACCTGCACAATTTACAATAGTTAAAGTCCCAAGTGCCCATCAGTAGACGAGTGGATGAAAGAGCTGTGGTACATTTATACCTTGGGATTCTATGCAGCAGTAAAAAAGAAGGATCTCTTACCCTTTGAGGCAGCATGGAGGGGCCTGGAGAGTATTATGCTAAGTGAAATAAGCCAGATAGAGAAAGGTAAGTATCACATGATCTCACTCATATGTGGAATCTAATGAACAAAATAAACTGATAAACAAAATAGATCCAGAGACACAGAACCATAGAATAGACTGCGGAATCTCAGAAGGAGGAAGGAGGGGAGGGTCGGTGGGTGGGAAGAGATCAACCAAAGAACTTGTTTGCATCTATGCATAAGCTATGGACACAGACAATAGGGTGGTGGCTGGCGGTGGGGGCAGGCTAGAAGAGGTCAATGGGGGGAGACCAGGGAATATATATAATACTTTCAACAATAAATAATTTTTATGAAACCACCTTGAATGTATGGGTATCAATTTTCTGTAGAATCAAAATGATTTATGGAAATTCTAGAATCAAAATTAATTCTTTAAATCTAGGTTGAAGAATACATTACTCCTGAAAAGTTCAAATACTGGGAAAAAGTAGGAAATGACCTTGGATTTCATTATACGGCAAGTGGCCCTCTGGTGCGTTCTTCGTATAAAGCAGGTGAGGTAGACTGTGCAGGATGGTTTCATGTAGGCCATAACTTTCCACATTTACATTTTAATAGTTGTGGTTGTCTTTTGTGAAGAAGAAAAAAAGTGGGGAGCGTTTGGGGGAACTTCCTTAGGAGATTTGTTTCATAAGGGTCATATTGAGGGAACATTTACTCTTAGTTGTTCATTTGTTAAATAAAGAATCTTTCCCTACCTTAATATGTAATAGCTCAGCTACTCTGATGAAAGCAGAAGTAATCAGTTTATTCTATGCTTGGATATCAATAGTAGGTTACTCAGAAATGACAAAGATCCATCAAGCATATAACATGGTTTTTTGGAAAATGTAGTCATTTGACAATGATGCCAGTTGTTTCTCCAAATTTTAGATCAAATTAAACCCTGAAAAGTGTTTGACAGCATTGCTGCCTGCAACATTAATAGCTTTGTGTTTTTCTTCCCAGAGGCAACAGAAAAAAATTCTTAAGATTATTTTCCCTATAAACATTTTTTGTTTTTACTTGCTACATGCAATTTTTCACCTTGGTAATTTTAGCTCTTATTTTGATCCATAGTTTGAGCTGACTAGTGAAAATAAAAGCCTTTTCCAAGAGATTAAAAATCATGATAATGGCTATTAAAAGGTTTGTGAGAACATATCTGAAAATTTAATTTAATCCAAGAAATCTTTATGGTGTTTGCCCTGTCAGTTAGACTTAGTTATAATTTTTTGAAGAATAAACAGCTAGTTATTTTTTGGATGTGTCTGAGCCATGTTGTTACTGTTAATGATCTTTTCTTTTTATTTCATTTTATTTTTTAAAATACTTTTATCTGCTCTATCCCTTTTATTTTTTTGTTTATTTTTAAATCCTCATCCAAGGATATTTTTCCATTGATTTTAGAGAGAATGGAATAGAGAGGGAAAGACAGAGAGAAACATCAGTGTGAGAGAAACACATCAGTTGGTTGCCTCCTGCAGGAGCCCTGACCAGGGCCCGGGGCTGGGGAGAAGCCTGCAACCACTGTAGGTACCCTTGACCGGAATCGAACCCCGACCCTTAGGTCTGCTCTACCCACTGAGCCAAACTGGCTAGGGCTTAATGCTCTTTTAAATGACTTTTATATTAGGGTCTAAATCATAGATATGCTTAAATTTGGCATGAATTATATTTATAAAAATTATACAAAGTATAAGTAATATTTACTGTGTTCCTGTAAAGAAATTAAATGAAGTAATAATAGCTTATCCTAGTTACAAAACCCAAGAGTTAAATTGACTTCATTGACAGGATGTGGGGACTTTGGAAACTAATAATTACAAGTGATTTATTCTTCAGTCAGTGCTAGCAAGCTAACACTATATAAAGAATAGAAAAATATCAGCTTCCAAAGTGGTTACAGTCGAGTACTGTCATTTGAAAGGAGTTTTTATTTTGTTGTTTTTGGTTTTGTGTATGTGGGTATGTTTTTAAGGAAATTTTCTAACATTTATAAGGAAATTAATTATGAACATTTTAATGCTTTTTAAATTACCAGTAAAAGATCAAATTCTGGTTATAGAGCATTAGATTCAGACCATGCATTAGGATCTGATAATAACATTTGTTTCACTCCTATCAGATTTAGATAGAGGTATGGAGCAGCAAGGATTGTTTTCTCCATTACTTGGCTAGTTTATGAGCTTTGGGATTCTTTGTGATTGTATACGGGGACGGTTGCGATCTACTCGTATATTTGGATGACAAAGAGACTTGATCAGACTCCTCATAAAATCAGACCTGCAGCTCTGAGCTCTGCCAGTAAGCATTGAGCTGTGCTCTCACAGTGATAGACACACCTTAAGGGGCGGAGAAGAAGCCATTATAAAGGAAGAGCTCTTGCTTCCCTAGAGGGGAATGAGCTAAAGAGATTCCATCAGATGAGTCTGCTCAACTGAAACGAGGTCTGTTTTATAAACATCACATCTAGGCTAATAATGTAGCAGAATTGCTCTCTGAAATGAATTGTGCCAACAGCAATACCTTTGTCAGTGATGAGGAATAGATAGTGCACATAGTGTGGAATAAATGTACAGAAAACCCATAGATACAATAGGGTCATCCTTTATAATACTGAGTTACTAGAAAGAATAATAGTAAATTATTTCATGCATATGTGGAATTTAATGAACAAACTGAACTAACAAGCAAAATAGAGACAGACACATAGTGAGAGAGCAGGCAGACAGCTTTGGTGGTGGTGGGGTGGGAGGGTTGTGGGGGAGGAGGGATTGAACAAAAAAGAAAAAGAACTCGCCCTAGCTGGTTTGGCTCGGTGGATAGAGCGTCAGCCTGCGGACTCAGGGGTCCCGGGTTCGATTCCGGTCGAGGGCATGTGCCTTGGTTGCGGGCACATCCCCAGTGGGGGGTGTGCAGGAGGCAGCTGGTCGATGTTTCTCTCTCATCGATGTTTCTAACTCTCTATCTCTCTCCCTTCCTCTCTGTAAAAAATCAATAAAATATATTTAAAAAAAAAAAAGAAAAAGAAAAAGAACTCATGGATACAGGCAACAGTATGGTGACTACAGGGGAGAGGAAGGTGGGTGAAGGTGGGAGAGGGTAAAGGGGGGATAAATGGTGATGGAAAAAATACAATAAAGAGAAAAAAACAAGAATAATAGTAGAGATTGTAGTGATCATAAAAAAATTATTTTAAGAATAATGACTAATCATTGTTGGGGAAAGAGGCAAAGATATAGGAGATATTATTGCCATTGAGAAGAGAGAAATGCCAACAAACACAAAAATCTTTAAAGGGAAACACTGAAGTATAATTATTCTGACATTGACTTTAAATTGATATTAATCTATTTTCATTTTTCCTAAATAGGTGAGTTTTTCCTGAAAAATTTAGTGGCTAAAAGAAAAACAAAAGCCCTGTAACACTTAACAAGACATTCAAGATCACACGAATTTTGAGAACTGGATTCCATTTGCTAACAGAGGTGGTGGCAGAATGCCTATGCTTCGCTGGATGAACCCTAATTTTTGTTTTAAGAAAAATGTCAATAAGTTGTGCATATTTAATTATAGCAATGTATTTGCCTTTTAACATATCTTTTTTGTCCCAATAGACAGTTGCTTGCTGTGATGTAATCATAAAACATCCTTGTAAGAGCTTACTGTTTTACAGTATAATTTAAAAATGCATTGAAAACTTCTAGCAAACCTTAAGCCTCTCTGACTTGTGCATCATTGATGCATTGCATTTCTGATAAATAACATATTGCGATGAAACAGGCAATATAGCTGGAGACTCTGATCAAATTACGTGTAATTAGATTTGTTCTTCACATAACAGTATAACATCATTGGGATGATTTAGAAAGGCTTAAGAGCTTGCATGTTGACTTTTACATTGGTGTGACCACTGTAAAATAGTTTTGCATCAATTACTTGTTTAGGGCCTCTGTGAAACCAAGACCACGATGTTGTCTGAGACAGGGAAATGTGATCTAAGGGTAGTTTGCTATCACCATGCACTGTCCCTTTTATTCCTCACATTGCTCTGAGGAGGCGGTTGTATGCATAATAGTAGTGATCTGAGTAAGGAATTTATTTCCTAAGTACCAGGAACTTTTGACTGAATCTTGTCTTTCTTCTACATCTCACAAAGGAAGTCTTTAGGTGACTATATTGTAAAATATGTAATGTGGATAGCCAGTTCTGTTTTGAGTTTTAAAATGTGTGAACTAGTATTTTTAATAAAAATAATGCATAACTTTGAAAATTAGTACATTTTAATTTCACTCACGGGAATCAAACATACTTTGATTCACTTTCTTTAGAGATCCTAGTAAATTTTGCCGTGTAAAATTAACTCCATCACTTTAAATGTAAACATCTCTGACAACCATCCTCCCTAAAATCTATTCTTTCACGGGAATAATAGATTAGATTCTAATGTTTCCTCATTTTGCACTATGGAGGCAAATGGGAATGAAACATTTTAGCAGAAGAATCTTTTCTGCTAAATGAAATTTAATGGAATCCAGTGTAAAATAATTAAAATGGCATAACTAACCATTATACCATGACTAAAATCCATGACCTAATGCCTGGCTCTTGCTGGACATTCGGATGTGATGAACATATGCTGTAAAGGTGTACTCCCTTGCACACCTGTAACAGACATACAGGCTTGAATTTTTAAGAGGCCAGGGCAGAGCTTTGACCTTCCTAAACAATGATGCATTAATAAGAAGTACATTTCGCCCCAGCCAGCTTGGCTCAGTGGATAGAACGTCAGCCCGAGGACTGTAGGGTCCCACGTTGGATTCTGGTCAAGGGCATATACCTTGGTTGCAGGCTCGACCCCAGGTCCTGGTCAGGGCAAGTCCGGGAGATAACCAATCGATGTGTTTCTCTCACATAGGTGTTTCTCTCTCTGTGTTTTTCCCCCTCCCTTCCACTCTCTAAAAATCAATAGAAAAATATCCTCCAGTGACAATTAACAACAACAAAAAAGTACATTTAAATGCAGAGGCATGGCAGGAGGTCTCTACAAAAATTCTTGATTGGGCAGCACAAGTTAATAAATACATCAGTGTTCTCCCATGTGTTACAATTTGTTATGTGCCCATTTCAGTATGTCTGCTCTTTTTATTTATGTAGTACAGATGGTGTTTTTAATAAAGTGAAAGTGATAAATGCACATTGTTGTTTTTTTTAAGAAAACTAGCCCCTTTCCAACTGAGAAACCACCTCCTGTAACCCACTTCCTGTTTGGCGAGATAATAAATGTCTTTATTAATGAAACTGGTTTACTAGAAAATAGGAGTTTCTCTTCCCTGAAGCTGGAAGCATCGTAACTTTAGAGGTATTATTACGTTAAGAAATGTGAGCACCAGTGGCCATAGGCAGAAAAATGGGGAAAACACCACAAAGAAAAATTCAGAATGTAAGTAGAGCAAAATAGCAGGAGCAGGAGCAGCAGCTGAGAGGGGTGTGAGTGGTCCTTCACCCCCTGGGGATTCCCGGGCACACGTCCACACTGTAACATACATTTATGCTAATGATATACCACTGTAATGTATTTTACATTGGGCTTCCATGGAGATTTCATACAGCCAGTGTTCTCTTGCTAAAATTGTGGCCACCACATTTAAATTTTCAAGAGCTCTTTGATTATTCCATATTTAAAAAATAGCATCCTGTTCTTGTTTCCTAGCTGCAATTTCTACCAATTTTCTCTCTAAAGATAGCTAGTTTTTTTAAGTTGGAGTTTTCTGCATTGAGCATTGTCTGCTTCCTTTGTCTTGGTCTCTGCCCCTTGGGTTGAAGGCTCCCCTCAAATGCCTGGTGATCCTTGGCTCTCCATGCATACTAAGTGTAGACACTCTACAGCTAGCTGGAAGCTGGGGTGGGGGGAGCTATTAGCCAGTCAGAAAGACAATACCTTATGATCTCACTTATATGTGGAATCTAATGAACGAAATAAACTGACCAACAAAATAGAAACAGGCATGGACACAGAGAACAGACTGACAGATCTCAGAGCGCAGGGGGGACTGGATGAATGAAGGTGAAGGGATTAGCCAAAAAAACGTATACATAACATATAGACACAGACAATAGTGTAGTGATAGCCAGAGGGAAAGGAGAGTGGGGACGAGGTGGAGGTGGGCAAAGTGAGGGCAAATGGGGATGGAAAGAGACTGATTGGAGCAATGAGCCCAGGATGCAGTGTGCAGATGATGGTTTATTGAGTTGTACACTTGAAACCTGTATGGTTTTGCAAACCAATGTCACTCCAATAAATTCACTTTAAAAATAAAACTTTACTATAGGGTGCTGTGCGGGGGAGGGTTTGAGCTGGATTTTTTTTTTTTAATTTTTTTAAAATCTTCACCCAAGGATATTTTTTTGTTTTGATTTAGATTGAGGAAGGGAGAGAGACAGAGACAAATATCAATCAGTTGCCTCCAGCACATGCCCCAACCAGGGATAGAACCCCCAACCTAGGTATGTGCCCTGACCAGGAATCAAATCTGCCACCTGTCTGTATAGGTTGGTGCTCCAATCAACTGAGCCACACAGGCCAGGGCAATGAGCTGGTTTTTTCAATGAAGGACTCCCAAATGTCAGGATTATTCCTCTAAAGCCAATCAAGTTATCTTTCCTTGAGGGTTATAAACGTGGGTTATAAATGTGATTTGTGTTGAGGGACCCCACCGGTGCACAAATCCATGCACCAGGCCTCCAACACCCCGAGGGGTCCCGGATTGTGAGAGGGCACAATCTGTGCAGCGGGCCTCTAGTCCTATCTAATAATAGACAAACATGGTAATTGACCATACCTTCGATACGCCTCCCATTGGCTAATCAGCATGATATGCAAATTAACTACCAACAAAGATGGTGGTTAATTTGCATACATAGGCTCCAAGCAGTGGAGCGAAGCCTGAAGGCCCGGGGCTGGCAGAGCAGCGAGGCCTGACGTTTCCGGGGCTGGTGGAGCAGCGAAGGCCTGGGCCCCAGGTGCCGGAGGCAAACCGGTGCCAGCAGCCAGGGGAAAGGAAGGCCTATTGCACGAATCTCTTCATGCAACAGACCTCTAGTATACATGTAAGATCTTTGGTTAATCTCTTCCCACCCTCCACCCTTTCTTCTGAGATTCATCAGTCTGTTCCATGTTTCCATGCCTGTGGTTTCCACTCCTGTGTTGAGCGTCTGCCCTCTGTTGGACAGTGTGCATCATAGCTACTGGATGGTTGCCTGCTCCGCCCGTTCACTTATGCTTTTATATATATAGATTCTGCCTAAGGCCATAGGTACTCACTCATATGAGTACCTCTAAATATAGGATGCTCTCAACTAAGAAGAGCTCCTATTCAAACAGCTTTTCATATTTGGGCACAGGATATGGGTTAATGAATTTACAGACAAATGTGGCTTATCATTGTAACCACCACAATCTTTATTAGTGAAGAACCCTTTGGGGTATGAGTTCTTTAGAGAACTTGATGAAAACTATAAACTCTATAACCAGAAAAAAAATCATGAAC